ATCTCTGTGGCAGAATTACAGCGCCACATACTGGTCTGGCATGTATACTACATCGTTTTGTGTCGGTTTCGTGTGGACGTAGATATTTCTTGAGACGAGGGGAAAAAAAGATCGGATAGGGAAAGCTCTGGCTTCGTGTGGACGTAGCCTAAAATGTATATACAATTTTAAATAATAACAAACATCAGGAAAAAAAGAGGAAACAATATCATCTTTGATTTCCGTATGCTTGTCGTTTTCGGTTAAAGTCCTTCTCTGATTTTATTGTTGTTTGCAACGTTACTTGGCAATATTTTAAAGATTGGTATTTTGCTTGGCAATATTTTAAAGATTGGTATTTTGCTTGGTCTATTATCGAAGTAGTGTCACCCGGGTGGGAGTTTTAATTCCCATTCACTGGGAATAAAACAATAAAATAAAATAAAAATCATTCAGTCGATGCAGAGACATATAGAGCGGGGGAATCCACCTTCTCTCCACCCTCTGAATATTAGGCTACGTATCATAACGTACATGCGTATCAACGTTATTTGGCGGTTTTTACTTGGCTTTTGAGAGTGTCCTAAAAGCCGATGTGTTAGCATTCAGCATACCCGGTTAAAAAAGTCACCTCTCGCCACTGATTTGTCCTCTCATATAAATAAATCACAGTCACAGACATTTAAAATAAGATTACAAGTCCACGCAGGGCTGCAGGTGCAGTGTCAGCGCCCCCTGGCTGTGGAGCTGCAGAAGCCGCACAAACTCCTCCGGCATTTTGTGCATGTAACGGTGCGGACTCAACGCGTCGTAGTAATGATACGGAACGGGATTGTCCTGCAGGTCCGTTCCAAACGGCCAGAATCCGTAAACATGCACATGCTCACACAGTTCCAGCGCCGTGTTAATTAACATAAACCCAGATGAGAGGCGGATCGACTTCAGGCCACGCCCCTTCCAGAAACGGTCCAGTGTTCGTAGGTAAAGGGGGCTGAAGAACACCACCGGCTGCTGAGGTCTGATTGGATGGAGGACTTTGAGAGTTTTCATTGACTTTCCAGTGCAGAAGGTGTAGGCAAAGGCGGGCATAGCGAGGGAAGCGTTTCCGTACACACTGACCCGCTCCACCAACGGATCCGGATCCTGCTCCAGATTTTTGTATCTACACACACAGTTTGAAATAAACACTCTTAATCATTATTGACAGACAGAGCTGGGTAGATTACTTACAAACTTTAATCTGTTACTGATTCCAAATTGCATGACCAAAACTGTAGTTAGTAACAATCCATTACATTACACATTTTAGGTAATATAATCCGACTACTTTTAGATTACTTTTGACCTAACTCGCATTTCACATTGATTTAAATAAAATAGCCTTGTGTCATATTTATAGTAGTGCTGTCAAGCGATTAATCGTGATTAATTGCATCCAAAATAAAAATGTTTGTTTACATAATATATGTGTACTGTGTATATTTATTATGTATATACAAACACACACATACAGCATATATTTTGAAAATATTTACATGTATTTACATGTACAGTATATATATATATATATATATATATTCATATAAATTATATCATATATATAAATATATTTAATATATAAATGTAACATTTTTCTTAAACATATACATGCATGTGTGTGTATTTATATATACATAATAAATATACAGTACGCACACGTATATTATGCAAACAAAAACTTATTTTGGAATACGATTAATCGCGATTAATCGCTTGACAGCACTAATTTATAGCTAATAATTATGAAATCATAAAAATGTTAAATTAAATGAAATAATTTAAAAATTATTATTAAAACCTACATTTGTTTACCTGCATGTCCATTAATCAACATCAGAGAACCATGAACATGCAAATGTGATACTTCATTAAAATATTTATTTTAAAATCTCAGGGGTACTTCAGATAAAAAAAATATTAGGTGAATTTGTGCATTTTAATGTGTTTGAAAGAAAAACGCCTTCCTAAGTAATACATGGTAAAATAGCCAACCGAGTCACAATTCAAATAACAATTAATGCATTCATCAGTAATTGATGCGGTGTTGAAAGGATTTGTGTAAATGCTGTGTAGCACCTGACTAATGATTGATCTCTATGTGAATGTCCACAGAACCGGAGACTTTCTGAGTGTTTATAAGCGGTAGATTATTTTAGAAAGGAACATTTGAAAGATGAAAGAGAGGAATTAGGGAGAATCAATACATTATGAATAAATTATTGCTGTTGTGTAAATAATATGCAATCATGCAATCCATAAAAACGTAAGTGTAGTCTGATTACGAGTATTTTAAAATGTTACTTAATTTTTGGAATCTGATTACGTAATTACATGTAATCAGTTACTATCCAGCTCTGCTGACAGAACACGGTAAATGTGTGTAAATGTTTATTTGGTAGGCCTAACGTTTTACAAAATGCTAACATATATAGCATTTAATAATCTTGTATAATGTGAATAAATGTCTACAAACCCAACTATTGTTTTTGACAAAGGAATTATTGAATGCATTGTGATTTAAAATCAACAATAGTGCATTTATGAAATGAAATTAACCAAGATTAATAAATGCTGTAAAATATTGCTCATTGCTTCATGACTGCTAGATTGTGACCAATGACTATACTACAGCAGTCGAGGGAGCTCAACGCGCTGCAACTCGGAAAAAAAACATATGCAAATAGAAAAAGCGCCAGCAAATTAAGAGAACATCTTCATCACTTTGACAGCACATGTGCCACAAATACTGGCAACACAACCAAATACAGAAACACACTTCAAATACTCATAACACACACACACACACACACACACACACACACACAAAAAAAACGCTGCAAGTAGCACAGACCTCAAAGGGGACCCCAACAATGCTTACAAAAATTAACCATGGTTTTATAATAGTAAAGTAACCATGTATTGATTACCATTTGCATAACCACAGTTGTACAAATACCATGGTTAAACTAGGTTAGTGTGGTTAATTTACCCTGGTTTAACTATTAGTTACCTATATTTTATATAATACTAAAAATATATATACAGCGGGTAAAATAAGTATTGAACACGTCACCATTTTTCTCAGTAAATATATTTCTAAAGATGCTGTTGACTTGAAATATTCACCAGATGTTGGTAACAACCCAACTAATCCATACATACAAAGAAAACAAAACAAATAAGTTCAGAAATTAAGTTATGTGTAATACAATGGAATGACACAGGGGGAAAGTACTGAACACATGAAGAAAGGGAGGTGCAAGAAGCCATGGAAACAAGGCTGCACAGTGATCCCAAACACGGCCAAGGAAACTCTCCATTGGTTTCAGAGAAAGAAAATAAAGCTGCTAGAACGGCCAGCCAATCTCCTGACTGGAATCCAATAGAAAATAAGAACTAAAGGTCAGAGTTCATAGAAGAGACCCACAGAACCTTCAACATTTGAAGACTGTTTGTGTGGAAAAATGGGCCAAAATCACACCTGAGCAATGCATGCCACTAGTTTCTCCACAGAGCTGTCATCACCAACAAAGGCTTTTGTACGAAGTATTAAATAAGAAAATAAAGCTGCTAGAACGGCCAGCCAATCTCCTGACTGGAATCCAATAGAAAATAAGAACTAAAGGTCAGAGTTCATAGAAGAGACCCACAGAACCTTCAACATTTGAAGACTGTTTGTGTGGAAAAATGGGCCAAAATCACACCTGAGCAATGCATGCCACTAGTTTCTCCACAGAGCTGTCATCACCAACAAAGGCTTTTGTACGAAGTATTAAATACATTTCAGTTGTTCAATACTTCCCTGTGTCATTCCATTTTATTTATTTTTTACATTTTTTTGTTTTTTCATTTGCAGTGCGTTGAGCTCTCTCGGCCACTGTACTATACTGTTAATGTGATAAATAATGTTATGAACAACATTATGAGAACTAGTTTAACCAAATCTGTTTGCCTACATGTAGAGAATGGATTTATTAACACACTTGTTGTAAATGCTGTTCCTGTAATTATTTGAGTTAAATACATCAATGTTTTTCCAGTGTGTCATCAGTTTGTAATAACAGTTTGTACTTTCCCCACCTTATTGTAATTGCAAAACTTTTCAAGAACAAGTCAGGCCACACCTTCCTATCATTAACTATGAAATTCAGTTAGACTGGCTCTAGCAAATCAGTTTCTCAATGTTCCCATTTAAAAGCACACTTTGTTTTACAACCTGACAGATGAGCCAAGTCATAAGAGTGATATCATAAAAATGATATGTAACCAGAATACATCTTTAATAAATTTACAATAGAGTCTGAGCAGGACCTGGTTATATATAGCTTCCAAATTAACAAATTATAGCTAAACTAAACTTTTAAAAATAAATGTTGCAAAAGTTTTTTTTTTTGCAGTGATTCCATAGAAGAACCATTTTTAGTTCCTTTTCAGTGAACAGTTGTTGTTAAATAAACCTTTTTTTTTTCTTAGTGTGAAGAACATTTCAATATTCTAAAGGACCTTTTCCACTATAAAGAACATTTTGTGCAGCTGAAAGATTCCATGGATGTTAATCTAAATGACAAAATCTTAAGTTAGAATGTTAAAAAACAAGAATCCATCTCACTGAGAGTTATATCTGAATCGAAAATGTCCTTATTTAAATGTTAACTGAATTTGTGTTTATGGACACTGACCGAATCTGACTGGGGTTGATGGTTATAAGATCCGTCTTCAGCCCAACATCACTGTCATTAATTGTCGCCAAATTAAACCTGAAAGAGAGAGAAAACTTTGTGTTAACTGTCACGGTTCAGCTACTGTGAAGGAGTGAGGAACGAGGGAATTACAATAATAGCAGTCTTTAATCTTCCAAATCACTGGGAACACAGAACAGGCAGGAACACACACACGTAGCGCATAGAGTATACGTTTAAGATCCGACAAGGAAACATGGGGCAGGCTGCACTATAAATACTACACTTAACGAGGGAATTGGGGAAACACCTGGGAGCAATGAAACACAATTGGAACAAGAAGGGAACCAAATATGGGCATGTCACACACGAGGGAAAACTAGATCACGGAGCACATGGGGAGCAAAACAAACACACTGAAAGTCCATATTCTTAGACATATCGCCCCCCTCCCAGAAGGCGCGTCCTCGCGCCGAAGAAACAACAGAAGGAGGGACGGTTGGGAACTTGGGAGGAGGCTCAAGAGGAGGACGGACACCTGGGAGGGGGCTGGCAGACAGAGTCCAGGGAGGTGACGATTGAGGGAGGAGCCAAGGAGGAGGAAGGGCTGACGACTCCAGGGGGCCTACCAACGGCAGTGAAGCAGGTGGCGGAGGAGCCCAAGGCGGAGACGGAGAGCCGATGAGCCAGGGCAACACCGAGGATCCAGAGGGTTAAGGCAGAGCAGATGGCTCCGGCGACCGATATGGAGGCGAGGATCCAGAAGGCCGCGGTAGAGCCGGAGCGACAGAGGACCAAGGTGGAGCCGAAGGGAAGGAGGAGTCTGACGGAGCCGGAGGGACGGAGGGATGAGGTGCAGCTGGAGTAGTGGAGCCCCGAGGCGCAGGATGGTCGACGACAGACCAAGGCGGAGCCAGAGGGACGAGGGAGCCCGGTGGAGCCAGTGGACTGATGGGCCACGGCGGAGAGGAGGGAGCTAGGAGCCACGGTGGAGCCGATGGGTTGACGGGCCGAGGCGGAGTCCGGGATTCAGAGGCTGGAGGCGGAGACAGGGGATCCTCCAGCCACGATGACGATGGAGGATGGCAGACCCATGGAGCTCGCACCGTACAGATGGTGGGCTGAGGGCGAGCAGAGGGGCTGCCAGACGAGAGCGGTGGAGGAGGCAGGAGTGGGCGGGCATGTCGATGGGCCGAGGCGGAGTCCGGGGCTTAGAGGTTGTAGGCGGAGGCAAGGGAGTCTCCAGCCACGGTGATGATGGAGGATGGCAGACCTGCGGAGCTCACACCGTACAGATGGTGGGCTGAGGGCGAGCAGAGGGGCTGCCAGACGAGAGCGGTGGAGGAGGCAGGAGTGGGCGGGCATTTGTGAGCTCTCTCTAGGATGGACAGGGAAACAGGAGCCCTCTCTGGGCTAAACTCAGGAACGGGAGGCACAGAGGTCACCGACGGAGGAGGGAGGAGAGGGGGCAGGTCGGTAAACAAGCCACTAAGGTCTCCCTCCGCTTTCCATTCACCCAGATATATTCTCAGCTTACCCTCAGCCATGGTGCAGGAGGCGGAGATCCTCTCCGCGCTCTCTCTGTCCACGGCTTTCTCCCTCGTGGCGGGCATTGTAGCCGGCTCTCGCACCTGGTCTGACGATCCGTGAGGCTCTGGCTCCGTGGCGATCCTCAGCACTGTCGCACTCCTAGGCGATGGCTCGGTCGTGACGGGCTCTGGCTCTCCATCAGCGGTGGGCTCAGGCTCTTGCTCCACGCAGCGGGGTGATGGTGGGCTGGGCTCTGGGTCTGGCTGTGCTCTGGATTCGGGATAGACGCTCTCCAGACACCGGATGATTGCTTCCTTCCAGCTCAGTCCAGAGGTGTCTGGGAGGTCACCGGGGCTATGGTAATTTGCCCCGATCCAGAACAGTGAGTTTAGTGCAGCGTCGTCGAACGCTGTTAAAACAGCGAGCTGGCTGAACTCAACTGCATACTCCAACAAGGAAAGGTCTTTACGGGCGAGGGGATCCATACAGACAAACGGGAAGAAAAGAAAAACTGAGTAAAACACGGAAACTCAACGGAGGGAAAACACACAATTATACTGTTTTGGGTCGGATCTTCTGTCACGGTTCAGCTACTGTGAAGGAACGAGGAACGAGGAGACAAGGGAATTACAATAATAGCAGTCTTTAATCTTCCAAATCACTGGGAACACAGAACAGGCAGGAACACACACACATAGCACATGGAGTAGACATTTAAGATCCGACAAGGAAACATGGGGCAGACTGCACTATAAATACTACACTTAACGAGGGAATTGGGGAAACACCTGGGAGCAATGAAACACAATTGGAACAAGAAGGGAACCAAATATGGGCATGTCACACACGAGGGAAAACTAGGTCATGGAGCACATGGGGAGCAAAACAAACACACTGAAAGTCCATATTCCTGACATTAACATGAAGGATGCATGATTACTGATGGAAGTGTTGAGGCAGCAAGGCATAAAGGGATGTGTTTACCGTATGACGAAGTCTGCGCTGTCGATCTCACGTCCACAGCTGCTGTTCTTCAGAATCCCACCACTGCCAACCACAGCACACCGACCCAGACGACGACCACTCCAGGGGAAATCCTGCACACACACACACACACACACACACA